GATCTATCGATTTTAGACGAATCTTACTAATTTGACCATAAACGTTGTGAATAAAGGTGGTTCGTACAAATAACTGTTACTTTTGAGGGTGAGCCACAATAAACCCATCTGGGGCCGCAGTGGACAGGCGGTATCCGTCCCACTCACATGAAACCTGAGTAAACCTAACCTATTGATGATATTCAACGTGGTGATATTGATTTCTCTACGCGACTTTTCGTATTCGTGGAACTACCATAAACTTTCTTTGAAAACGTTTCTGATTGGGTGTTTACTGATCTTGAAATATTTCTTCATTTTGAATTCAACGATGTATTGAACAATGTGGTTAGAAATTGTATCGATCTTGTTCAAGCCATCATGAATGTTCATTCGAAAATTCGAAGAGAACATACACTATTATTTTCCCTCATTTCTGATCATCATTCGTTGTTGAATAATGATGAGGTTATTCAATACTGATAAGTGAAAGGAGAGTTTTTACTGATTTATTCAATGCAGTGCATCAAATTCTGTTTCATGTCAATGAATCCTCACACGAATTACCTCAATAACTATGAACTGACAACACAAACAAAAATTACAAAAAATACCATACATAACAAGGGTTGAAATTCTTAATTATTTTTTCTAAACGGAGATCTCTTCTTACAGTTGCTTCTTAGATATTCCAAAGCTTCGATTACAATGTCCCTTACTTTTTCGCTTGAAAAATTTCTCTTGTGGAAAAGGTTCTCGACTTTATCTCCAAGTGTCCAATCAGGCGATCTCGCTGGCCAAGGGACCGTAGAATAGGTTTGGTTATCATGAGTAATATCACGATGTACTGAATATTCTAGATAGTTTTGTCGGTTCACGAGTACATCAGGAAGACTGCTACCATTCTACAGCAACACAATTCAGTCAACTTTACTATAAGAGACATAATTATTATAGAAAGGTAGTGAGAACAGAGTGGCGTTTTGCTACACTATTTCACGTTCACGAGGTGAACAAGAATTTATTATGAATGAGTGATTCATTCTGACAACAACAGCTTCAATTATGTGATGCCAAACTGACTTCGCTCAGCTATCCATAGTCACATCGTTGAGAATTACAACGCTGATAGAACAATCAGGATTGCGAGACAGATAATGTTTTCGCAATAACACGAGTTGTCACTGGCTTGTGATTGTTCAGATTATGTGATTGGTGGAATAACAGTCAAGGTGATTCGTTTAGGAATTCATCGACATGAAGAATCGTGGGGAGTTATCCTCAGCTGAGGCTACGGAAATTATGATACATAACTTGTTTCAAAAATGATAACTCTCTGCTCTGTCGGATATCGAACAATGCAACCTTTCGATGATCTGATTGCTAGTCGAGTGCCAAACCATCGCGGTATTCCACCATCTTTTATGAAATATTCATTTTACTACTCAGTATTGAATGACTACATCATCAATGTTTAACTAAGAATGACCAAATATACGTAAAACTGCTGGTATTTCCACATGACATTCCGAAAACACTTTGGAGATAGCTGAAACTAGTTCGAAACACATTCGAACGACTTTGAGTAGTGAATTGTTGCATCAGAATCAGAGGAGCTATCAGAATCTGTTAACACATGATCAAGACTGTATGCAACGAAGTGATGACGGTTCCACGGATACGAAACGACGCGTAGAGAGAAAACAATCACCACATGTGGCTATTGAGAAGTATTTCAATTTCGCAGATCTACATTTTCTCTAGTTATGAGGTAGAAAAAATGAATTATTTCAAAGAATTCTTTCTTCTCGATATAACTGAGAAACTATGAACCATCCCTAATATTTCTGGAGGCCGTTGGTATGGCCCTCAGAATTTGCTATCTGTCTCCTTCTCAACCGATTTCGTATCTCCTTTTGTTTTCTAGTTCCTCATGCTGTGCAACTTCACACGCTCATTGATATTTCTGATGGAGAATGTTCCAATTATTGATTTTATGCTTACTTTTGATGATTCGTTCTGTTTGGAAGATACTTATCTGAATAATTCCAAATTAATGCAAGTCGCCTTTCTCTAAGTAAGTTGCTGTTACGGTTTTATTTTGCACTACGAATTCTCCGTTATTATTATTCTGGAATCATTGAATTTCGTGTTCCTAAGTATCAGATCGATGTCACACTCGGTATCATGTTCACTGTGCTATATGATAACTTCATGTTATGCTGTATTATGAACTATCTTTCAGTATTTCGCCCCCTGTACTCACCTTTATTTCAAACAATTTCGCATGCATTATATTATGTGCTCAGTAATATATGTAAATATAATGATCCATCATTGTTTACTTTATTTTAATTCCAATGATTAAATCAATTGACAATCGATTTCTGAAAATCATAAGTCATTATTCAATGACAGAGTTGACAGATAACATGTGAGATATTTTCTTAGTACAGATACTTTCTTTCTGACCCGGGATGGGCCCATCATTCGTCAGCGATATTTCGTCTTGAGAACACGAATGTCTGCAAGCAGTTGTGAAACCGTAACTTTCTCTTTAGCAGCAACACGAATAGTTGTTCATCAAATGTTTATCCGGATGGTGTAAGCACTGATTAGATTTTGTTTGTCGAGTATCTATTCCGTATGAATATCAATTTAGTTCGAGATCTGAGTTAATGCCTTAGTGGTTTTATAAACTTTAACTGAGAGTAGGATCCGAACTCACGATAAGAATTTTCATGGATGATTTTACACTTGGAATCTGCTCGCACCATCCTTATAAATTATTCAGCGCCAGCCAACAGTCACCAGTCATCATGAAAATACTGTCAGCACCGTTCCTTCAAGTTTAATATGTCACAGAACTATTCTCAGATTCCTGTATGATCTAAGGAACCAGTTTCGCGTATTGATGCAATTGACAGCAGTGACATTTCATATTTTTGATATCTGACTAGTGGTATTCTTTCATTCTGAACTAACTGACACATTTCACATGAACTGAACTGAATCAGTTGACATGCATTTTACATAATGAACGTCATTCGAAAGAACGATTCAATTCAGTTCTAGTGAAATATTTCAGTTAGTTCAGATTGAAAGAATATTACTACTGACATTTCAATTTTTCACTTTTGAGTTTTCCTTGGTACGTGTGGGAGTGTATGGCCGATTAAAATATCTCCCATCGAATTTTTCGATCATCTCTGTATGGATTTGGAGAATTTCAACATTAAATATGATTCATTACGTATCGGACCAATATTGGATGTTTGTATTTTGAATGAAATCATATTTTCTGCTCTGCAGGATATAAAGCCAAAGTAAGTTTTTTTTTTTGAGGTTAATATTTTCAGACTTGTAAGTTTCTTTTATAACTTCAGAGCTCCTGTCTTGTCTATTTAAGAAGTACCATTGTGGAAATAACTGACACGGACAATTCACAACATCGGAATTGTTAAAATAACCCTCAGCTACGAAAGAGGTTAGTATATTATCTTTGTCAGTCAGCATTATCATTATGCAATCAATTGAAGTGAACTCGGACTAGTATTGTTTAATTTTAGGGTCCTAGTCTTAGTCCTAGTCCTACTCCTAGTTCTTGCCCTAGCCATAGGCTTCATCCCACTATTAGTACTATAGTACTACTGTTCACCCTAGTCCCTGGTCATTGTATGTCTGGACCATAGACTCGTGCTGGTATATATCATATACATCTACACTACTTGTCTAGAGTTTTCTACATTGGTTAACAAGAATACCTGCAGTTTTTGCTGTGTCTTCGACAACGAGCAGTCTTCCAGTTGAGGCCTGATTGCCTTGACCAGAGAGAAGAGGGATTCAATCATAAGTAACGCCATAGGAGCTCCACTGAGCATTCAGATAAGTCTGTCAAACCATAGAACATAAGGGAATGCCTTATATACCTGTATAATATTTTACATTCAATAATAAGTTGTACGCTATCCCCGTGACGTCACATAAATAGCCCTCCTTCGGACCTTCCCTATATTTGCATCAATTTAATATACAAAACTATATATCTGAAATCTGAATGCTCCCTTGAATGCTACTTCACTTACATAACTATATATGGTGTTATCATATGATTTGAATAGATAGTTTCAAGGTGTATGACTATTATTTCTTCATCAATCAACCCCAGGGTACTTGTGAATTTTACCAGATATTTGTGAAGTATTGACTCTACCGATAGCAGAGGTTCATTCCTTTCATCAGGGTTGTTTCTGATTTTGGCTAGCGAAAAATCAGTGGCGCACCGGAAAATGTACCGCTTTCATTATATACTGTTATTTATATAATTCAAAAATACATGAACCGTACCCACACCCTAACTGAGCAGCTCGGAGGGTTAGTGGCAAGTACTTCATCTTTTGCATGAACCCTGCTTATCAAAATCTCGCCCCTAACATTGCATATATCAATAATGTTCAGTATCAAGCATGCATCTCTCTACAAATTTTGAGAACGCGATAGGCAATGTGTCCAAAAAGATATTTCAGCGACTCTCACCATGGAAAAATGTTCAAAGAGCTATTTTGACTTCATGACTACTTTCAGCGATGTGTCCGAATCTTTATTTCGACATTTTGAGCAGAATTGAGGATTTAGTTTGGCCTCTGCGTTGCTTAACTATGCAGCAGCGTTTGATCGTTTCGGCAACATGATCTTATTGGGCAACTTGTCAACTATAGCGTTTTGTGGCACAATGACTACTTTCGGCACAGTGTCCAACGATCTATTCTCGCATTTTTATCGAGAATTTGGCTCCTTGTCCATTGAGCTGAGTGTTCAGATCCCTAGACACTACATTTTCAAGATATCACTACCTACTCATACTGCTAGATAATATAAAAAGTGTAATGTGATCATATACCTTTCTTTACATCACCTTTGTTCGATGATCATTGAGCAGAGTTTGTACATTTACTCATGAACTCCAATATGTTCGAGTTAGATAGTAAGTTTGGCATAGGAAGATGAAACTGTGATTTTACCTGCATACACAAGAGTGCCCAATCGACTCCTCTCGCTTTTCGGCACCCATCTGGCCAGCAAGCCATGGACGGAAGGGAATACGAACCCTTGACTCAGTCCCTGGACAGCACGGCATACCATGACACCTGAGAAATCGATCAATTCAGTGCAGGTTAAAGCAAATCAGGTACAGTAGCAGATATTTAATCGAGAAATCTCTACAATAGAGATTTTAATAATTATTCAGGTGAGTAGACACCCTGCTGGTAGACAACAAAATCTGTGGCCAGAAAGTCATTCAGTTGTTTTTCATGTTAGGATAATGTCAGTTGAATCGGATACACAGCTCATCCTATTTTCCATCACAAAATAATTATCACTTTTGGTTCAACCAGGAAAATACCTAGAACGAGAATTGAATCGACCCCTGTTAATATTTTTACCGATTACTGATATGTATTGTGGAACTTAAAGACACTGATTTCAGTTTTGTAATGAGATACTCTACCGCACTTGTGTGAGAAACTGAAGGAAATAATTCCAAATCTCAGTTAATAACTGGAAAACCGGATGCTGAAGTTGAATTGCTTTATCTCCTGCAATTTATATATCTGAATTTCAACTTTCGTGATCGAATTTGATGTTGTTGAATTTTTTTCTCGAATTGAAATGTACGCTTGAAGGTTTACAGTTCGCAGAATGATTGACAACCAATAGCACAATGGGTAGATTCACAAGAATACGCCTAACGCTCATCCTTCGCAACGCCCTCTTGTTACATAATTCTCTATCTCTTAGAGCGCACGGAGCGAAACTCCTATGATGTTCGAAGAACATTGTGCTTACCAAGAGGAGCTGGGGAGAGGAGGTTGGTATTGGAATTCTCTTTGAACTTTTGTAGGTTATAATTTTTTGGGAATACTCCCATTGGCGAAGAATAACAGAGTTTTGTAGTTCTACAGACGAACGAGTTTTGAGAAAGTGTTGTTCGACATATTCCAAAGTTGACAACGGAAGGATGTATCGTTGATATTTATTTCATTCTACCGATTTGTAATGTGAAACATTACGACATTGATTTGAGTTTCGTTATGAGATACTTGTTTTGATCTTCTCTTGAAGATGCTAACAAACTTGAAGAAAAACGTATAGAGTCTTTGAGAAAATTGGTTTGATTAGTGGTGAAACAGTGAAGTGGAATATCGAGCCAAAGGTTTCAGTCTTTTGGTTGCTTCTTTTGAATTTACAACAAGGCCGTGTACAATAATTCATATAGCAAATTCCATGTACCAAGGTGGTTAATGGAGAGCAATTGCCAAAACAATGCTCGTCAATATCATTTTCGAAAAAACTGGTTTCCACAATGAGGGGAGTCAGTGCCCTTATGGAAGCGATAATATAAAAGGAAAATATTGATGAGATTGAAGACGTGCTGGCTGTTTCTTACTTCCTTCTTTGAAAGAATTCAACTCCATCTTGAACAATATGGACTTCTACCGAATACGGTCTACTTATTACTAAAGATACTTCACCTGTAGAGCCGTACCAGGCGGCTGCGGTCGGTATGAAGATCCCCGCTATGGAACCCACGCCCATGGTTGCAACGAGAAACCATTTTGGGCCATATCGGGAGGCTAACCAGCCCGCTCCCACTTGAGGCAAAACGTAGCCCCAGAAAAACGCTGATTGGACCACGTTCTTGTCTGTCCAGTTGTAGGTCTACGGAGGTAATGAATATTTTCTAATATATAATAATAGTACAGTTATTGATTGTTTCGCCATGCATGAACCAGGATATTCGAATAGGTAATTATCATGAAATCAACGATTCGGAATTGAATTCCGAGTGAGAACAATTTCAACTTCAACTTGCCACACGTCGGCAAAATCTTAGGGAATCTGCCGACAACTGTAGGAAGGAAAAGTTTTTGAGCTGTATTCGAAATATTCTTCGATTGTTCGTACATGAAAGGGTAAATATATTTTGAAACATGGGAGTTGGGAGAAATGTGGAATTGAGCTGCAGAATATCACAAGATTTGCAGTCCGGAAATATATGGGTTGTTTCTATTTGGAGTAATTTTGAAATGGATTCAGGTATCGAACGAAACATTTTGTGAATATAAACTACTATCAACAACTACAATGGCAACTATCAAACATAAGTAGAAGATTGTTTGATGGATATGAGAGATTCACGAAATCATAGAACTGTTCCATAGAACATGACATTGACAATAATTATGACAATATAATTCATAGAATATCCTCTTCGGACCCACCACTAGATGGACATTATAATTTGGGTGAAAATCAGTTTTTGTTACTCATATGTATCCAATGAAGGATCCTGAGTAGCTGTAATTGCAAATTTTTCAATACATTTTTCGAAAATTAACGTATCATATGTGATACCTTGGGTGTGGACCAATACAAGTTATGGAATAATCCAATGCTATTAGGAAATTTTATTTATTTATGAAAATCTCTAAAACAGTTTCTTTCTGCAGAACAACATAAAAAAATCTTACAAGCAGCACATCGTGTGAATGTGAGGTTTTTACATCCTGGCTTGCGACACCGTGATCTTGATTTTTGTGAGTCCCTCATGAATTCTGGTAAATGAAGAGCACGTTCTGTCCTCTGGTTCCTATCAGGGATAGGCTGAACCAGTCTCTGCCGTTTCGGTTGGGGACTTCCTGCATCTTCATCATCAGAGCAATCACTATCTGCTTGGTTATCACTGTTCTCAAGGTTTTTATCCTCATCGAAATAGATCATGGCTTTTGCTAATGCTAATTTGAAATCTAAATAGTCCATTATTTCTCGTTTTGGCAAAGCAGAGTTATGAGCATCTTGCCGATATTCTAGCCATCCAGCAGCAGCAGCAAAATCGAAAAAGTGGAAAATACAACGGATCGTCCACTTACTGGTTCTGTTTCTCATGGAATATTTACTAATAACTCTATCCAAAAGGTCAATACCTCCCATGTATTCGTTGAACTTCTCCACAACATAAGGTCGTTTTATTTCTATATATTTTTTATCGACTTTAGACCACCGTCTGCAGATACCTTCTGGTTCCACGCCGAAAGCTGATGACAATAAGTGTACTGGTTTTGTGTCGAACCATTTTGTTGCACTTATTTTACCATCTTCTCTAACGAGTTGGTCAGATGAGCCACGACCCATATCTTTCAAGAATTTGTCTGATAGAAACGTCATCTTCTTGGGAATCCTATTAGCCATCAATGTTCCAACCAATGATACTGATCTTGATTGTAAGGTATCAATCAGGGGAATTGATGTGAAATATCTGTCGGTGTAAACAGTAACTCCTTTTGGCAGAGTGTCAGTTAGCTTCAGAACCATTCTACCTCCAACATCCAGGGTCTTCGGAGTTGGAAAGAGGCTTGATTCAACTGAAGAACCTTTCCCTTCATACATGTAGAAATCTAGGGGCAATCCTTTGGGTGTCGTCAGGACAAAATTCTTTAGACCTACCGGATGTGGCTTTCCTCGTACGTACTGTCTCATTTTGACTTGACCTTCGAAAGGAATCATTTGTTCATCTATGGAATATTCTGTGAGTGTTCTTTCATTCGAGAGGCAACCACGTTGAATATATTCTAGCATCGGTCGTATTTTCCAAAATCTGTCCAACTCCCTACTCTGTTGAGTGACCATATTGTCATCAACGACTTTCAGACGAGAACGTAACTGAAAGAAACGGTTTCTTGAGATATTTTCGGCAATGATTGGAACTCTAGTAGATCGTCCCCAATACATCTTCATTCTAGGAAGTCCATAGATACTAATGAGCATGGAACATCCAACAAATTTATACAATTCTTTAGCAGTTGTTTCAAGAGAATTTCCTGTAGAATTTACATGCTTCATGTTAGTAAAGAGGGCCATCTGTTCGAAGAAAGTAGCATCAAGGTATTTACAAAAATACTGAAATGGTTCCTGGACTTTGAGAGGGTGTGTTTCCTCGATATCAATTACTGGTTGAGTGGGAGGATGGAAGTGACGTTGCCTGTTCCAGGTTTTTGCAGAATGTGGCCGTAATTTGGACAGTGGCTGTTCGTCTGATGTGTTGAAACCATCATCGTCTGGGCCAATGTGGGCTAGTGGCTCGTCATCATCACTATCTGGATCTGGAGGATTGGTTATTCCATCATCCAACAAGTCTAATTCTTCATCAGGATTTGGAAAAAGGGATTCGTTCTGATGTGGAATATCTTCATCTTCCTGTTCATCATCAAAACCATATTCTTCGATATCTGAATCATCTAAATTCAAATTATCGGCAAGTTCTTGCAACTCATGTGGATTGAGTGGTTCTGAAAAACGAAAATTGATTGTATCGTTGTATGCCCAAGGTATCACCTATGATACCTAACCTATAATAACACCAACACTACCAGCGTTCGATGATATTCGCTGTTTGAATGAATTGTTTCGATCAACAACATCTAATCAATGATTCTAATCATAAAAAAGTAATATCTGTCGAGTACTTACTGTTTCGTTTATTGAGAGACATGTCTGTACAAGAATGTAAACACCGACCAACACTAAACCAACCTAGAACATACTAAAACGCGCGCGGATTCCGAGAGACATGCAACACGTATTGCAGAAATACCTATCAGATATGATACGGACGGTACCGAACCGAATTTCATCATTGCAGCGACGAAAAATATTTTTGAACCGATGTATCATATATGATACGTCTGAACCGAAGAGGGTATACAACCAACAATGCACGTAAGTATTACAGAACTGCATAATCAACACCTTCCTTCAATTCTGTTATTTCCTGATATCTGACGAACCTTTTTTCCAAAGAGAACATTTTCCTTTCATATTGCAACAATATTCAAAAGATTTCTCGAATATTCAAATTTAGTACATTCTAATTGTATTGTCAGCATATCAGCTTGCTGTTTCTTAGTAGGAATGAAGAATAATTTAATTTTATTCTCAGCAACACAGTCTCTTACAAAGTGATGTTTGATATCAATATGTTTCGTTTGTTTCGACTCGAAAAGATGTATATATATATATTCCTATAGAAAATATATTGATATCAAGTAATGCTGTCAACATTTGAACTAGAAATAAATTTCCAGTAACACAAGTTGACAATGCAACATATTCTGGTTCAGCACTTGATGGAGTGACTATATTTTGTTTTTTAGTTCTCCAGAAACTTGAATCGTTATTATGTTTTATCAAGAATCCTGTGATACATTTTTTGTCAACAATGCTATTAGCGATATCAGAGTCAAGATATGGATTACTATTGAATCATTACTTTTAGTAAATCTCAATCCAAAATGTTCTGTAGACTCCAGTTATCTTAAAACACCTTTCGGATGCTTAACTCAATGTCTAATATTATCAGTATAGCCTACCATCATCGATTTTTGACTTCGTGGATCGACCTTCGATTCTTTAGGAATCAAGTTCAATGCAATTGAACCAAAAATTTTGATTTTATCCTAATTTGGTTTATGATTGTACCAAATCTCTGCAGGTGTCATTTTGTTCTGCAACACACTCGTTTCAGTTCTATTCGTTGGGTAGACAGCAGTCCTGAGTGTTTTGTCCATTTCACTATCAGATATCAGACACCTTGCTTTGTCCATTATGGTACGATTGTAGCGTTCAGCTACTTAATTTTCCTCTGGATTCCGAGCAATTGTGTACTGACATTTTATTCCATTTTGTACACAAAAACTTCCGAACGCTCCTGAGGTGTACTCACCTCCATTATCATTGAATTCATCCGATTTGGGTACCAAATCAGGCCATCACATAACCAACATACTCTCGAAATTTTTTAATAATCCCACTTTCATTGGCTATAAGGTAGCAAATAACAAATAGAGAATGATGGTCAATGAAACTTACATAGTATTTTCTTCCATCAAATGTTGAATGATTGATTGGGCCACAAACATCTGTTGAAATTACTTCACGTTTGCCTTTTCTATCTTCAGAAATGATTTTGAATGCTAATCTAGCCTGCTTGCCCTGTAGACACACTTCACATACTCTAGTTACTGGAAACTTACATAAATGACCCATTCTCCTGTGTAACAGCATGCTGTCACCAGGTTCACTGTAAAACTATGTCATACTTTCACTACCTATAGATTACCACAAAGTTGACTTCTCAACATTATATCATTCTCTTTCAGAATTAGTACTCGATTATCTTGGAATGGAATTTGAAAACCAACTTCTTTCCCAACTTTCCCAACTGATAATAAAATATGAAGAAATTCTCGACATACTCACACATTTGCCATTGCAATAGCTTTACCAGTGTCAGTTTTGAGTAGAAGATCTCCTTATTTTGATGTTTATAAGTTCTCACCTGATGAGGAATTATAATTGAAAGCTGTCAAGAATGGAATTTCCTACTCTATTTCATTTTCTACCAAATTCGCTTTGTTATGACTTGCGTTCTGGTTCTCATCCTTTGGTCACTGATATTTCTTGTGACCAAGTTCTATACATCCATGGCACTTGAAATGGAATCCTGTTTTGCTCCTCTCATCTGATCTTCCACAGCTTAACCTTTCATCCCACCACTTTCTATACCCAATAGAAGCCACATCACTGCTACTGACATCTGACTGGTTCTTTGCCTGTGTGGCCCCTTTCATCAT